CTAAATGCAATATACATACCTTAATTTAAAAATAACTTTATTGTTGGGGTGGCTCAGCGGTTTAGCGCCGCCTTCAGCCAAGGGCGTGATCCTGGAGACCCGGAATTGAGTCCCATGTCAGGTTCCCTGCACAGAGCCTGCTTCTCCCTCTGCCTGTGTCTCTGCCTCCCTCTCTCTCTCTCTCTCTCTCTCTCTCTGTCTGTCTCTCATGAATAAATAAAATAAAAAATCTTTAAAAAAATGCTTTATTGTTAAAAATGCTAGCCATCAATGGTGCTCTTAGCAAGTCATAAACAGTGACCACAGATCACTGTAACAAATCTAATAGTGATGAAAATGGTTGAAATATTGCAAGAATTACCAAAATAAGACAAAATGATACCAAGTGAGCAGATCCTGTTGGGAAAAATGGTGCCAGTAGACTTGTTCAATGCAGGCTTGTCATGAACTTTGAATTTGTAAAAAACACAGTTATCTGTGAAGCACAATAAAATGAGGTATGCCTGTATAACACTAAAATAAGAGTCTCTTCCCTCTGGTGGTATGATTCTAAAATGTTAACATGCACGAAAACATATTTGGCTTTGACTATACCTTATGTTAAAACTCAAGAAACCAATACCTATTAAATGTAGATTTATTTTCAAATATTACTGTAAGAAACCATTTGTAATCTGTTGACAATTATTTTTGCTGGAAACCCATTTGGGTGACTAAATTGAATCTAACCTTTGCAGTTAAATTTTTCAGCAGTTGCTTAATTTAGACCTAACAGAGTATGATTGTAAAAACACAAGTCCCATTACCAAACAAAAATGAATTCAATCTTATACAAAAGATATTGCATAATTTGTTCCTTAGGATTGTACAATTTGAGGTAGAAAAAAATCACCTTTTTTGACTTATGTGAAAACTAGTTGTAGGGAGAAAATGGAATTTTAAGAACTGTTTGTAAGCAAAACTTTAAAGAAGAAAGGAAATAGCGAATAAATAATGAAATTTACAATTAGATGCAAATAATAAAAAATATCCAGTGTTTAGTGGGTGTATATTCCTAAACTTATTTCTACTCTTTGACCTTCCTAAATGCATTCTGCACAGAACTTAGAAAGTTGATTATCTGCCACTAGAATTGAAGAGACTGCAAAGTGGTACAGGAGTCTTACTAGACTATGCCTGAAGATATTTAAACTCTGAATATTTTGTTAGGTAAAATTTCCTTTTCTAGTATGAATTGGAATTTTCTGCTAGCCAAAGATATCATGAGGATATTTAATTTGTTCTACTCTTTAAAGTGTAGGTCAAGAAAATCTTTTTTTATCTGCTGTTTCATGTATTTTTAAAAATTACATTAGGAGGCATATTTTCCAAATACAAGTAATCTAATTCTAAATACTCAACATGTAAGATGAATTTTACTTTAACAATTAAATTAATTTATTTAACAATTAAATGCAGAAGTGTTTTAAAGATAGTCAATTATTCCTGATCAAAATCTGATCTGTGTTTGTGCCTCTTTTTAAACATGGTCCCATAATCACGAGTAGCTGTAAAAGAAATATTAGTTTATACGGAAGTTGGTGTCTTGCGACATGAAACACAAGTATCTTCATTTAAAAATTCAAGTTGTTTTCAGTTTACTCCTAAGACAAACCGATCTTTAGAAAATCAGAAATACTCAAAAATTAAATAAAAAGATCATTTTTAGATCCGCTTTTACCATCGAAAGATTAAACCTTATTTGATCTTTTCGCAATGGATTTATAAAAAATACTAAGAAAAGGACATTACCAATTCTAAACCACTTTAAAACATTTATTTTTACTGACTACAGATTCTCACTTACAAACTTAAAAATATTTAGAAATTTGAAATTTTTAAGTAAATGTTAGAAAGGCACATTTATTGAACTGGCTGTGCACGCCAGCAGGCCTCTACAACAAACTTGGCAATGCGTGTGGGTAGAGGAAGGCAAGAATAGAAGCAGCGGCTCAAGGCACCTTTGTAAATTAGCTCTTACTGGAATGCTTATCAGAAAAGTAAAGATTCTTCTTATTTATCAAGGCACTTGGGCATAATGATTAAATTTTCTTCAAAGGGTGAACTTGTACTGCCAACTAGGATGACTTGATATTATCACACACACACCAAATTGAGAATGAGCAAAATTCAAATAAAATAATCAAGAAAATCCACAGGATTATATATATTTTGCAAACTGACTTTGTCATTTCTCATGGTAAATATTAAAAATAAGCTATTTCCTCTAAAAAGGTAGAATACGGTGTCATGAAGCTACAGTTACAATTCATCTAGACATCTGATATTATGTCCTATTATTCCCTTGTGTACACAGCAGAGAACTCAGCTCCCTGATATTATCTTAATCATCCATTTACGAGCATTATGAAAAATTGTTCAAATATTTGGACACTCTGATAGACTGGATTATCCGGAAAGAGATGTCAAGGCTTGACACACCTACTACACTTCCCAGGCCTGTCGTTCTTCTTAAAAACTCTCTGTTTTAGAGGTATAAACTTCTTTTTTTTTTTTTTTGAGGTATAAACTTCTTAACACAGTGATTTCGAGGCCCAATGAATTAGAGTTGGCATATGAGTTTCACACAGATTCTTACAGTAGGTAGGTATTTACCAAACATATTAATGAAGCTTGAAAAGTAAGATACTTTTAAGGAGATTTACTATAGGCTGTGGGCAACATACTTCATGACAAAAGTCTTGTTAGAAAATTTCAGAATATAAAGCTCTAAATGTAACTGAAGATGATACAGATTAATTGCATGCGTGTATATTTGAGTTCTCAAAGTGTTTTGAATCATAACATTAAATCCACCTAAGTAAAAGACTGGAAATTCTGAGTTTAAAGACTGAACTTTGGAATGACCCTCAAAACTATAAACAAAGTGAGAATATGGGAGAAAAAAGTCTAAGATTTTGTTCAATGTAACAAATCTAAACAAATTAAAAACAACCCAAGAGGAAAACAGACTAAGATCATGAAACATTCAGTTCACAAATATGAAAACACAGATGGCCAACAAATACAAGAAATGCTGTTTAACTTTTGTAGCAATAATAATAATAAAAAAAAAAGTGACCGTGAAATATTTTGCTTTACATTATCATTCTGAATTGGCTAACAGCTTAAACAAAATTTCTTATTCTTGAAGTATATGGAAATGGGCAGTCCTCCATACTGGTAATGGAAATGGAAATGGCACCAAGTTTTCTGGAGAGCACTTGGGCAAAATTTATCAAAATTATTTTAAAAATCGCTGCCCTTCTAAACATTAATTCCAATGAATTACAGATTTTCTTCAGAAAGTAACTGGATATATCAGCATATATAAGTTTGCAAGGATGTTTATCTCCAAGTTGTTTATGACAGAAGAAAACAAGAGGGGGTTAGGAAACAATCTACAACTTTTACGTGTATCAAGAGGAAACGCAGTATAGTACAAACAGTGAAGGAATAAGACTCATTAAAATGATAATGCAAATAATTCTTTGTGGATATGGAAGTGGACTATGGCATATTGTAAAATTTAAAGAGTAATCTGTAATAAGGTTATAAGGATTCCATTTTTGCTAAATTACTATGTGTATATGTCTAAAAAAATTGAGAGGATATGCAACACGTTTAAACACACGATTTGTCTAAATAATGGAATTATATGTTGCTGCAAGTTTTTGATCCGTAATTTTTTCATTTTCTCAAAGAGACTTCTAACTTAGAAAATGTGCTATGAGTAAACCTGTAGTTCATACAAAAATAAATAGAAGCAGATTTTCTCATTCTTTCATAGCTAAAGTATTGCCAAAGAAAATATTTTAATATAGCTTTTGTACTGGTAATATACGAAACAGAAGATTTGAATATATGGTTACAGGAAACCTCTAAGCAGAGTAAAAGAAAAAATAAAATAAAATAAAACAGCAACAACAACAACAACAACCACAAAGCTATTTTCCAGACACCTTTGGTAAAACAGAATTTTAAGAGTAATTATTTAAATGTAAATAAATAATTCTTGTCTCCGTTTCCAAGGTGGATTTCAAATAGCACACAGTAAAAATCAAAGTTAAAAAACCCTCTTTTTTAAAAAGTATAAAACAAAGATGAATAATAGAGATCAAGGAGAAGAGAGAAAGAGAGATCTGAAAATGGGATTAAAAGTTATTCTAGAAAACAGGCAAATTGATGTAATTTCAATTTATCAGAAAATCAATTTAGCGAGCTTCTGATAAATCGAGGCCAAAACTTAATGGGTTATGTAAATCTCATGTTCTAATAAAAAGAGACATGAGTCCATAAAAATAAAGAAACATACTCTTCTGTACCCTGAGATAAAATCATTACATCGAACATAAAATAGAGATAGAAAAAGAACTGTTGAACTGAATTTCTATATTCTCTATATTTGACTTTTATAATACTGGTGTCTGGAAGAAACGTAAGGCATTAATACTAACCTGTATCGATTTGAAGAGAATTAAGACCAGGCCAACTTTTTGTCACCTTAATTGATACAAATTTATGACTTAAGGAATGCAGAAGTTCAGGTTTTACTATTCCAGTCCCAATGTTGATAACTAGCAAGCACATAGATGACAGCCTGCCAATGGAAAGAATAGCAAAATATCCCAGAAGTCAGGTTTGTAGGGAATCTTAAAAACCTCCCCATTAATTTCAGCCATCAGAAGAACAATCATGTCAGGATATAAATTCAAAAGGCATTCAACTCTTTCCTAGTGCTTTAAACATTGATTCAAAATATAACTAGGTATTGAATTTATACTAGCAAATCTTAAACCTTTGGTTTCTTTAAAAAGCTCCGACGAGAACCTAGAAAATACCTTTTGGAAAAATAAATTACTTTGCAATCCTTCGGCCTAAGAACTGTTTTTTAGCATGTTTTCGCAGAAGAAACTAAAGCTAGCAATAGTATTCAAACACGAAAGAAGATAGGGGCTTGCGGTTCCAAAGTGCAGTGGTTACCACGTCTGCTTTACACGCAGAAGCTCCTGGGTTCGATTCCCCAGTGGAACCAGGTGCAGCTGCACTTCTTTAAAAGAAAAAAAAAAAAAAGGACATAAACTCTAACAACTACCTCCTTTCCGATGGTTCAAAACGTAATAAAAATATATCTAATTATGCTTATTGCTACGCATCCTAAATCAAAATCAGAGACAATATTGTAATTGGAAGGGGTGCCTCTGTCAAATGAATCCAGCTTGCAAGATTCACATTTTTCCCCCCACACGAGAAAAATAGCTTTGTCTATAAAAACTCTTATCGCAAAGTCTACTGGCATGAGCAGCCCTCGGCTGGGATTTGTGGTCCTTTGTGGGGTAACTGGGGCAGAGAGCAGCAGCCACTGTGCAGGCCTGCTGGCTGCAAAGGCCCTGCGGCTGCAAGCCCTGCGGCTGCAAGGCCCTGCGGCTGCAAGGCCCTGTGGCTGCGAGGCCTTTGGCTGCAAGCCCTGTGGCTGCAAGCCCTGTGGCTACAAGCCCATGCGGCTGCAAGCCCCTGTGACTGCAAGGCCCTGCGGCTGCAAGCCCCTGCGGCTGCAAAGCCCTGCGGCTGCAAGCCCTGCGGCTACAAGCGCGCGTTTGTAAGCCCTTTGGCTGCAAGGCCCTTTGGCTGCAAGGCCGTTTGGCTGCAAGGCCCTGCGGCTGCAAGCCCTTTGGCTGCAAGGCCTTTGGCTGCAAGGCCCTGGGGCTGCAAGCCTCTGTGGCTGCAAGGCCCTACGGCTGCAAGCCCCTGTGGCTGCAAAGGCCCTGTGGCTGCAAAGGCCCTGTGGCTGCAAGCCCCTGTGGCTGCAAAGGCCCTTCGGCTGCAAGGTCCCGCGGCTGCAAGCCCTGCGGCTGCAAAGGCCCTGCGGCTACAAGGTCCCGCGGCTGCCAGCCCCTGTGGCTGCAAAGGCCCTGTGGCTGCAAGCCCCTGTGGCTGCAAAGGCCCTTCGGCTGCAAAGGCCCTGCGGCTGCAAGGTCCTGCGGCTGCAAGGCCCTGCGGCTGCAAGGTCCCGCGGCTGCAAAGGCCCTGCGGCTGCAAGGTCCCGCGGCTGCAAAGGCCCCGCGACTGCAAAGGCCCTGCGGCTGCAAAGGCCCTGCGGCTGCAAGGCCCCGCGGCTGCAAAGGCCCTGCAAGGTCCCTCCCCGCCCTCCTAGGGCCTCTGGGCCAGGGCGACCGACAGCGGCTTGGAGCCCAGCACGCGGCCGTTCATCCCGGCCAAGGCCCTGGCGGCCTCCTCGGCAGAGGAGAAGCAGATGAGGCCGAAGCCTTTGCTGCGCCCTTCCTCCCGCATGACCTTGACCCTGCAGACGGCGCCGAAGCGAGCGAACTCCCTGCGCAGCCCGTCCTCGTCGACGGCGTCGTCCAGGTTCTTGACGTAGAGCTCGGCGCCCGGGGCCCCGCGGAGCCCGTCCTGCCTCCGCTGCTCGAACGCCCGCCTGAGCTCCGCCCGCCGCTCCGCCTTCGGCTGCGCGCGGCCCACGAACAGCGGCCGCCCGTCCAGCTGCCGGCCGTTGAGGGCCTCCACCGCCCTCCTGGCCGCCTCGTGGCTCTCGAAGCTCACGAAGCCGAAGCCGCGGGACCGGCCGCTGGCGTCCGTCATCACCTTGACGCTCAGGGTCTTGCCGTACGCGCCGAACACGGCCCCGAGCCTGGCGTCGTCCGTGCGGCCGCCCAAGTTCTTGATGTACAGGTTGGTGAACTGGCCGGCGCGGCCGCGCAGCTCGGCCTCGCGGGCCTGGCGGCTCTGGAAGCGGCCCACGAAGAGCCTGCAGCCGCGCAGCTGCGCCCCGTTCATGCGCTCGATGGCGCGGTCGGCGGCGCTCGGCTCCTGGAAGTGCACGAACGCGTAGCCGCGGGAGCCGCGCTCGTCGCTCATCACCTTGGACGACAGGATCTTCCCGAACGCCGAGAAGCGCTCGAACAGGGCCTTGTCGTCCACGGAGCGGTCCAGGTTCTTGATGAACACGTTGCCGACGCCCGATCTCCGCAGCTGCGCGTCGCGCTGCGACCACATGAGCCGGAGGGGCCGGCCCTGCAGCACGTCGAAGTTCATGGTGTCCAGGGCCCGCTGCGCGTCCGCCAGCCGCAGGAAGTTCACGTAGGCGTAGCCCAGCGGGCGGCGGGTCAGCGGGTCCCTGCAGATGCGGATGGACAGCACGGGCCCCGCGGCGCTGAACTTCCTGAACAGCGCGTCCTCGGTGACCTCGGCGTCGAGGTCCCCCACGTACAGGGACGCCTGGCGGTACTTGGCGGCCACGGTCATCGTTGGGCGCCCCCCCTGCGCCCCCGGGGGCCACTCCGGCGCCTCCTGCCGCCGCGCGCCCCGGGGCGGTGCGGGCCGAGGCCCGCGGATGGGGGGTGCCGGGGGCAGCTCCTGCAGGTGAGGGCGATGGTCTCAGCTGGGGAGCGCAGGAAAGAAAGAGAAAGAAAAAGAAAGGAAAAAAAAAAAAAAAAAAAAAAAGCAAGCTCCCTGCCTGCCTCCCGCGAGCAACCAATTCGGCTTCAGAAGGCCGCTGAATTTTGCAATCTGCAACACGGGCTCCGGGGCGAGGGCGAGGAGGGTGAGGAGGGTGGGGGCTTGGGGTGGGTGTGCGAGGGTGCACGGCGTCGCTGTTGCTTCCCCACCCCCACCCCACCGACCGCTCGGGGCGGCCCGGCCCTCCGCAGGCGGAGGGAGGCTTCTCTGCACGCACGCGGGTGGCTGGTTTCTGCAGAAAAGCAGGCCTCTCCCGGGCTCGCTGCAAAGTTACGGGCGCCGCGGGGAACAACTCCACAAGTGGCGTTGCCGGCGGCTGCTCGGGGCGCGCGGGGCGCGGGCCGGACCCGAACCCGCCCCGGCCGGGGTGTGCGAGCGCGCGGGGGTGGCGGCCCGCAGGGCTGGGGCTCGGGCTGGGGCTGGGGCTCGGGCTGGGCCTGGGGCCTGGGGGCTGGGGCTGGGGGCTCACCCGGGGCTGCGGCCGGCGGGGACCCGGAACTCGCGCGCTCAACTTCCCGCTGCCAAGCGGGATGTTTGTCTTTTTAATATTTTTTGCAGAGTGCGTGCCCTCCGCCCGCCCGGCCCGCGCACCCCCTCCCTGCGCGCACCCCCCCCCCGCCCCCGACAGCTGCGCGGCCGAGCGGAGCGGGGGGCGGCGACCTGGGTGGAGAGAGGCTGGCGCTGGGAGTGGCCCCGAGAGCCCCCGCCCGCAGGCCCGGCCGGCGGCCTGCGGGATCCCGGGCCTGCCCTCCGCGCCGGGGTCCTCCGAGGGCGCCGCTGCCCCGGGGTCGAGGCCCGACGTCCGGCCCCCGCGCCGCGCCGCCAACTTGCTGCCGCGCGCCCCTTACCAAAACCGAGGCACACTAATTTATTTCTATTATTATTTCTTCCCCCCCCCCCGCCCCCAGGGCCGGCTTTGCAAGAACGTGCATCTCAAGAAATGCGCGAACGCGCCCTTTGCAAAGGGAGCTTCTCCCCGAGTATCTTAGGATCGCGCCGGGTTCCCTCTTAGAGACCCACGGCCGCCTCTGGGAGTCCGGGACGCTCGGGGCCCTGCTCAGGGGATCCCCAGGCCCCACGTAGGGCCCTTCAGAAATGGGTTTGCTCCACATCTACCGAATGTGTTGAACGTGGTATTTACTTAGCCTGAGGCTGGTTTTCGTGCCCAGAGACATGGAGAGAGAGAGAGAGTGTCCCTCGCCTCGGAGACTATCCTAAGGAGTAACTGGATTGACAGGTTTGCAAAGGTCCAGCCCAGTTCCTGACAGTCAGAGGTTTTATTTATTTTTTTGTTATTATTATTATTATTTTGGCAATAATGACCTTATCTCCACTAGCATTTAATAGATTGCTTAAGATCATTCTCGTGTAAGACTTTAAAATGTGGCGGATCAGTTTATAGAACGCTGATTTAGTGCTTTTCAGACTTCCATGGACATAGGGATCATGCACCTGGGGGATCCGGTCTGAAAGCAGATTCGGATTCGGGAACGTGGAAGGGACTGGAAATTCCATTCCTAAAAAGCTCCCGAGTGAGGCGAATTCTGGTGGTCTGTGAACTATGCTAAATATTTAGCAAGGCTTAAAGCTAAGATGCCCCATAGTGGCGTCTTTTCTAATGCAAGAACTAAAAACACTATATTTCTCCTTCAGAAGATAATGATACTCTAACAGGGTAGTGATACATAAAAAAAAAAAAAAAACAAAAAAAAACACTAACACTGGAGTGTGATTTTCATTATAAAATCCAAATTGCTTTTAACATTTCTAAAATGGAATAATGGGTCCGTGATTCCTCCCCAATTCATCCCGATTAAGGGCTTCTGTTTTGTGAGACTTATGGTTACGTGTTGCTCCTATACTATTATTAGTTCAAATAAATAATCTTTTCTTTAACCATATCTTCAAGGCTTCAACTTTTAAAAGGAAAAACGACCCGTTGTATAGTTGCTGGATACATCAATAGATATCAGCAACATTCCACTACGTGCTTTGAAAATTCAGACACTATTTGGCATTATTTAGGGTAAATAAAATCATCTTCGCATTCAGAATTATCATTTTTTAAAGGAAAGTTCCTGATTATATATTTCATCATCACGTTCAGAATTCTCATTTTTTTTTTAAAAAGAAAGTTCCTGATTATATATTTCTTAAGAATTTTGTCTCAAGACTTCTTATTTCTAGGAAAAATGCCCAAGATCACATTAGGCCTTTGTACAATAGTCATTCAGGTACCACAAGGTATCCAAATATTTCAAGAACTCAACGGGCTTTTCGTTTTACTTGATGTGATCTTCGCTCGACGTATTGTGAAGAGTGAGGAAGAGTTTCCAGATTCAGGATCTAGAACTATATTTTTTTGTCTCTAATCAACTGTGTGCAATAGGCACAAACCTCAGTTTGTCAAATTACTACCAATCACGTTCCTTCCTGTTTATTCTACTCATTATACTGTTTTTATTTTTATTTCTGGATTTTAACAAAGCAAGCGTTTTACGCGTCTGTGATTTTTCCCTCTCTTTAATTCTCTAAATCTCATCTTTTTCTTTTGTCGGT